CGCGCGTTCGTAACGCGTGTGGGACCACTCGCTTCTCGTTCTCTCTCCGAGGTATGCTCGGTAAAAGGGCGCCACCAGTCGGGTAACCGTTGGGTTCACAGTGTGAGCCTTTTCGGTGCCGACCACGGCGTGGGTGGGCCCAAAAGCGGTAGGCTGGGCCTGCCGGTCTCGAATGCACTGCAATCCGGTTTTTGTAACGCAGCTGACGTCGACGGTGAAGGAATTTCCGAGGGAATTTCTACGAGGTTCCAGATCGCACTAATTCAATTTTCACATTGTTCGGATTTTTGGGAAATCTGGAGAAATCTTTGCCGTTGGAAAATATCCTTGAACTTTTCGAAAAAATAAACTTCTTGAAACTACTTATATTAAAAGATTACACTGCGCGACGTTTTAAGACTTTTATTCAAACAACAGAAACCACGTCCTACAGTGTTATTAATTATTATATTATAATGATAAATTTATTATTATATTATATGAAAAAGCAAAATATACATCATATTATGTTGTATTATACATAAAATTTTATGTATTTATGTATCTGTAAAAGTGTTAAAATCAAAGAGTAGCCGCTTACGAGGATTTCCTTCTGTATTCGGATAACCACAGATGATAAATCGTTAATTATTGGAAATATTTTTCATGTATGTTTTTATTTTATCTGCGCGATACATTGCATTATACATTATTCGAAAACACGTGGTGCGTTCATGCGTTAAATTATTCAAGTCAGAGTACAGTTTTCCGTCGAAATGCGCGTTGCAAATGGACGGTCAAGCAATCTGGTCACTGAATGCAATCGTCGAATCGTCGGTGGTCTCTTTCCCGCGATTGCACGATCGCGAATCCGCACGTGTCGCAGCAAATTGCCAAATCGTCCGCGTTATTTCGTGCCCAATGAAGTCGGAAATGATCGAGCGGTCGGGTGTGAGTTTTAGCGGCTGCCGAGGGTCCAGTTGTGAATAAGCGTCGTTCGGTGGCAAACAGATGGAAAAACGCTGAAGTGATGCATCGAAATTATTGGACGGAGTTATAGTAAACCGAGTGATGAAATCATATCTTCCGTGCGAATTGCGTGCATGCATTCTGCACGTTTTTTTTTATTTTCCGATTGTGCCTGTGTCAAAAAGTACAAAATAAGTTCGAGTCTCATCGGATTTACGTTACTTCGCTCGCAACACTACAAATCAAAGTGTATAAAAAGTTTTTTTTCTACAATTCTTAAGCTCGGTTTTTTATTTTCTTAACTTAGACTTAATCTCACTTAACTTAATTGATAATAGAAAAATTGTGATTTTCCAGATATAATTAATACTAAATAAATAATTGATAATTATTCAAATTTTATCATCATTTTTAATTATTTATTCTGTTATTATTAAAAAATCTTTATAATTAATATATCATAACAACTAATAATTTTACAATGGCAACTTTATTGTACGATTTTTCATTTTCTGGTTTTAACTAAAAAGTGACTTCAACATATGTATATAATTTATTTTTTCGTGAACAAATGACACTACACGTTTATTAAATATGTAAATCCATTTTTGTATGTAGTACAATGTGTTATTTTTACACGGAAAATTAATTACATACATACAGGGTTGGCAAGTAACGCGTTACTGTTACAAGTTATTTTTTTCGGTAACGAATGAGTAACGACGTTACATTTTTTTCTGAGTAACGTTTATTGTAACGCAGTTACATTTTTGAGATAATGGTAATGATTTCACTAGTTACTTTATTTCTAGTCACGTAGAAGTTTTAATCGTAGCTAGACCGTATTATATATGTATATACAGATATATACGAGTATATATAATATATTTCTTAGTTTTTGAGCTTTATTCTTCTACTAAAAGATAGAATTCTGACTTCTCTTCAGAATATTTATCGCAAAAATCTGTATAGGATAGCGTTTTTCATTGATATAATTAGTATGCACTCAGTGCACTTTAAAGACGTTGTACATAAATCGACGTAAAGATGTGTTTAATAAAAATATAGAACCGAGTAAAAAAAAATCGTGAAATCCTCTTTTGTTATACTATTTGATAAAATATACTTTAGGCATTTTATCAATTGAGATCAATCTCATTTTTACGTTTAGATTAGAGCAGAATACAACGGATTTAATGTGCACTGCGTTCTGCCAATTAGAAACGCTATATTTTATTGGTATCAAGAAAAAAAAGTAACGAAAAAGTGTGTAACGACTCGTTACATTTGACTGACGGTAACGCTAACGAGTTACTTTTTAGGAAAAAGAACGGTAACGATAACAAGTTATTTTTATGAGGTAACGTTGCCAACTCTGCGTACATATATTGAAATCATTTTGCACACACTTTGATTTGCAGCGAATAGGCATGGGGAAACGAAAGCTTTTACTTCCTGTTGTTCCCGGAACAACGCGAGAGGCAGCGAAAGGTGCACTTTCGTGCGATTTTACTGCCGCGAATGGATGTAGATAAATAAAGATAGATATATAGGGCAGTATTGTATCACGTGATAATAAAAGTTAGAAAATATCGATATTTGAAAACTCGGCAGCAAAATATCGGGATTATTCTAGGCTCTGAAGATCTTTTTTTGGAGGGCGAATTTTGATACGTACGGCGTAAAATGGTCGCCAATATATCGATTCGCGAAGGGGTGGCTCGAACCGAAAATGATCCGCGGCGGTTGACTTCGACGATTTTTTTTTTACGAGCACAGTGTAGAAAATGCGAGGTGCTTTTCAGAGCGTTATACGAGCACGTTCCCTTTCAATGTACGATGCGACACGCGTATCCGTTATTATCGGATGACAGTAATTTACGAGAACGTAAAAGGATTCAGCCATGGGCCGTGGAGTATACATACCTATTAGCGCTTCGATATTTTCCCCGAGAAACAAAGACCGTTTCCGCTCTCGATTTACACGCGAGCTAGGCAGCTCGTTATCGCGACAATACCGCGACGAACTTGCAATTGCCGCGATCTAGCTTTGCTGTAACACGGTGAAGGGCATCGATTCTGCGATGGATTAACGCCCGTTTCCATCACTGTGGATTAACTTTAATCTCATGTCAGTTCAACTTACTCTTCATCCTCTTTTAATTCTTAAGTCCGGTTTTTTATTTTCTTAACTTGTGGTTTAGACTTAATCTCACTTGATGATAGTATAAGAATTGTGTATGATGTGGTCAATTTCTTACGGCTTAAGACTTAAAGCTTAGGTAACGGTTTATTGTAGAAAACTTATTAAGGGGACCCTAAAGGAAAGCTCAAACTCCTACAGAATCACTAAATGTTTTTCCAGCGCATCGACATGTCTTTATATACTTTATATATCACACTAATATCTCACGCAACCTATGATACAGTCGCACATTCGTGACTTGACAGTTTGAAACGCCATGTTACATTAAGAAATGGTAAAAAATATATCAATTTCGAAATTTTTGGTTGTTCTCGGCATAAACTCTACCTCACAAACACATATTAATGCGTATACTTTAATCCTGGAAAAGGATTTTTGAGAGAGAGAATCTGTGAAAGAGGAAAAAAGTATTTGTTATACAAAAAATATATGATTTAGTCGGTAATACAGGCGGCTTTAGGATCCTCTTAAAGTCACCCACTACAATTTAAAACCATCAGTTTAATGATTAATCATAGTTAGAAAAACAAAATTTTTATCGAAGCTGATGTCGTTTATGACGCGATAATCATGCATATTGTTACCTGAAGCGAAATAGACGAGAAAACTCGTTAGTTTCAGGAGGACATATGTCATATATAGCTCAAACAGAATTTATCAAACGCGCTCCTTCGAGCGGATTAATCGCGTCACGATCGATTCCACGATCTTCTGGGAAACTCGTTACAGGCGAATGTGACTGACTATTCCCGTGTTTTATGAATTTATTAAAGCTGGCGCTTACGTTTACGTAACTAGTGACGCACTTTAGACGGTTCAATCCGTCTCTGTGCAAATTGCTGTCCACCGACGGTGCCTGACGCTGCGAATTATACTCCCATTCGTCAAAACGTCAAACGTCGGAATATTTTAATAACTAGTTCGGCTTTGCACGGTTTATGCGTCGGGGATCAAAGGGAATACTTTTTCTTTTGCACTCATCGACTGAATTCCGTTTAATATTCGCAAAATCCTATATAGAGGTACCAACCGGCCTCCATTAACTTCGAGTGATTGTTCACGGTGACAGCGCAATTTTACACGCGAAAAATTTCCAATCTTTTGCTCCGATTAGCGATCTCTTCTGATTCCGCGTTGCACGTTGTATAAACGCGTGCTTCGTTACAACAAACATAACGAGATTAAATATTATTTTAACAATATTTTTATTGCACGTCCAAAGTGCATGGATTATACCAAGCGTGATATTTGAAAACGTTTCGAAAAATTTTCGCTTTTATTATTATACACGGAAAAAAATGTTTCTGGTTTACAGCTAATTTTGATTAACTGAAATTGCATTAGCTACTATAGCTATGAATTTACTAATACTTACAAAGGATTTGCTGCTGTAGCTAATATAAGGATGTGATAGCAAAATATGCATGTCTGTTACAGATTTATTTAGCAATATGAAGTTAGTTGTCACAGTTATCGGATATATCCGTGTAAAAAAAAATTGTCTATCGCAGTTAAATATGGTTTGTTGAAACTGTACTTGCTACCAAATTGTCTGTTACACAGAAAACGTTTGCTGCAATGATCAATACATCGACATAATAGCAAAATGCTTGTCTGTTACAATGATAATATTTAGGCCTCACAGCTAATGGAAATTAGACCTCGCAGATATGACGTTAGGTGTCCATATAATGCTACTGAATTTAGCTGCCATACCTAATTTTTAGCTGTGGCAGCTAATCTTTTTTTTCCGTGTAACAGAGGATTCCTCTATTCTGATTTTAATAGCGGAAATATTGGCCATAATTATAATAGAAAATTATTTTGAAAATTTGCACCAATTTAGGTGAGTGCATTTCGTGATTCATCATTCAACCGGGCGGCTCCGCGGAAATTTCGCCGTGTCCTCTCGACCGTGTTGGCACAGTGCTTCGTCCCCGCTAAAGTAAGGGCTTTTCGAAAGAGTCGGATTACATTTGCACGATTCGAACGGCGAACCGTACTTTCACTCGATCGCCTGTACCCCGTCGGCACGGCGAGCCCTCGCCGCCGCAAACGCGAAGAGGAGAACGTCAGGGACGCGGAGCGGCGCGACGCGAGAAGGGAGGAGAGACTCCGGGCAGAAGGAGAAACGCGAGAAGAGGAAGCACACACGCACGCGTACGTATACATACGAAGAAACGAACGAAACGAAGCGAGTGAGCGCTCGCGAGTCCGGGGAGAGGTTTAGTGACCTCGGCGTGTCGTCGTCGTCCTAAAGAGAAGCAGAAGGAGTAGGACGACGACGACGACGAGCACGAGCACGAGTACGAGCACGAGCACGAGCACGGGCACGAGTACGGGCACGGGCGCAAGCACGACGACGCCGAGGCGCAACGAGACGACGAGGAGTGGCCGAGAAGAAGAAGAGCAAATTGGTGCTCCCGGTAGCAGGGGCCCATGAGCACCGTGGAGGAAACATTGCGCAACGTGTCGAGGCGCAGCAGACACGGCACGCGCGGCAGCGGCAGCTCGACCCGCGCCGATTGGTCCGCGTCGGTCGTACGGGGCCCGGCCCAGCCGACCCCCGTTGCTGCGCCGGCCGCCACGTCCACCGCCTTCGCCAGGCCCCAAGATATCACGGGCCCGACCAGACGCCAGTCCTCGCGCGATAGCGTCGACTCCGCCGGCCAGCACACCCCACCTGATCACGCGGACCTTCTCTTCAAGGTCCTACCTTGCCCCCTGATACCTCTTTTCTTATTGCTCGCTCATCTTATGACGACGATACGCGTTGGCATTTGTTGTTTTTCTTATTTCTTCCTCGCTTGCCAAGCGCGAGGAACGCAGTTCTTCGGACGTAATCGCTTCTTCCGCGTGAAACGCGCAATCTTATTTATTTTTATTTTGTTCTATTTATTATTTTTATTTATTATTTTAATTTAATTAATTCAATTAAATTTTCTTTACTTTCTCTCTCTCTCTCTCTCTCTCTCTCTCTCT